TATCCCTGGGGACAGAGCAAGCCCTTAAAGGCAGGGGGAGAGGTCCAAATCCAGCCTCCTGTCTTTGAACTCCAGGTTCTGTCTCTTCCCTCTTTTTAAAAACTCCCAGACGGGCCCTTTCTGCCTGCATTTGAGATCCTGTGTTTTCTCTCCACGGGGCAACAGAAATGCAATTGTGACTGAGAATGATCCCAGCCTTCCTCCCTTCCAAGATTTAAATGTTTACACACACACACACACACACACACACAAACACACACACACACGCCTTACTTCTAAGTAAACCTTCCTGGGATGCAGCTGTAAAGCTTTTCCTGGCTGTTGCAACTCTGAAGCCCTTCCTGTTCCCTTTCCCAATTCAAAAGTAAACCCTTTCACTGCTGCAGACAAATGAAGAATGTTTCCCGTGAGCTTTTCCTGGCTGTTGCAACTCTGAAGCCCTTCCTGTTCCCTTTCCCAATTCAGAAGTAAACCCTCCCATGTGTACTCTCTCTCACACACAGAGGAAAAGAGCCTCTCAAGCAAACAGCTCTGTGGGTTTAACCCTTTCAGTGCTGCAGAGAAATGAAGAATGTTTCCCATGAGGTGCTTCAAGCCAGGCTGCTTTCAGGAACGCGTTATGCAGCTCAGTGGGGCTACTTTGATGTGAGTTGACCTGCGCTATGGCAGAAATGTGTGCGCTCAGCAGTGAAAAGCTGTGGCCTGGCATACCTTGGCTTAGCTTAGAGGGAACTCTGCCCACCACCCCACCCCCACCCCTGCACCAGCCAGGCCGACTCATCCTGGCCTGACTGAGAGCTGCTGGGGGTGGGGCTTGCTGCTCCTGGGTTTGTTACTGCCAGAACCATGTCCCTGCTTGTTCCGGCTGGAAATGAGCCCTGTATACATGTAAATTCTCCTACACACACAGAGATAGCTACTTACAAGAAAAATAAAGTCCTAGATATTGTGAACCTAGAACAATAAATAGCTTTTTACACACACACACACCCATACCATGATTGTTCTTCTATACATTGTCATCCAATTCTGTTTTGTGGGCTCTCACAGGGTTGCCATTGTTATGTATTGGGTTTAATGTTATGGTGTTCTGTGACGTTAAAGTTATTGTCTGGTATCCTAGTTGAGTAATATGATTGGCTTTCTAATAAAGACCATCCATTGGTCCTGAAGCCACCCAAACTAACCAATTGCAAGACTCTGCTTAGGTCCAATGAGACCCTGTAGTTACTGTTACAATGTATATAGTTCACTGTGAAACTGTATAAGAGTGAGTGCCGCTCTGCGGACTCTAATCTGGGAGAACTGGGTTTGATTCCCCACTCCTCCACTTGCACCTGCTGATGTGACCTTGGGTCAGTCACAAGCTCTGGCACAGCAGTACCTGAAAGAGCAGTTTGTGTCAGAGCTCTCTCAGCCCCACCCACCTCACAGGGTGTCTGTTGTGGGGAGGGGAAGGGAAAGGAGTTTGTAAGCCGCTCTGAGACTACAAGTGAAGGGTGGGGTATAAATCCAATCTCCTCCTCCTCCTCCTCCTCCTCCTCCTCCTCCTCCTCAGTCCAGAGCTGAACAATCCTTGAATAAACCTCCTTTCATCTGACCATCGTCTCCTGCCTTTCAATACACTAAAGCCATCCTTTCTCTGGCAACCGCCAGTTGGTTACGGGGCAGATCCTGCTGAGATCTACGTCACTCAAGATGACAACAGAACTTCTGGGTGAAGGCCAAGAAGTATTGTTACTCACCACTCCAGGGATTTCTCTGATCCCACAGATTGGTGGGATTCCTAGAGTGCCGCTTGACATGTTTGATGGCAGTTCTGGGTCTTCATCAGAACTGAAGCTGCATCGAGCGATACCAGTCCCACCCCCACCCCCCATTTCCCCCACTGCTCCAGTTAATGATCATGGGGAATGTGAGAAAGCTGATGCAGTTTTGTGCACCAATAGTGGGCAAATGGCATCTCTCTCTTTTCCGGTTTAGTACAGATGGAAACTTTTTTGAGGTATCAAATTGGAGCATTACTTCTTAGGGGTTTTTACAGATTTTTATTCACAGAGTAGGGTGTGGCAAGCAATTTAGCCTCATTTCACAAATTTTTCATTATTTTTTTAAATTGAAACCAAAAGCAACTTCACATACATTAACTGCAGCATCACAGTAGGCCTACAGCCCATGCGGACACTCCCTAGGAGTCCCTTTCCCATCACACAAAGGAGGAGGAGGAGGAGGAGGAGAAGGAGATTAGATTTATACCCTGCCCTTCACTCAGAGTCTCAGAGTGGCTTACAATCGGCTTCCTCCTACCCTGTGAAGTAGGTGGAGCTGAGAGAGCTCTTTGAGAACTGCTCTTGAGAGACCAGCTCTGAAAGAACTTATGACTGACCCAAGGAGGTCTCTTCAGCATAGGGTTGCCAAGTCGGAATCGAGTTGCAGCGGGGGACTCCCGGCTGGTGGCTGGAGCGTGCATGCGCAAAGCACTCATGCACCGCATGCACATCACCCAGAAGTGACGTGATGACACCAGGCACGCTGGGGGTGGAGCCACGACCATCTGAGGGAAAACCATAGAGTTTTCCCTTGGATGACCGTGGCCCCGCCCCCAACGTGCCCGGCGTGGTCGCATCACTTCCGGGTGACATGCACGTTGGGGTGGAGTTCCCCCCGGGGCCCGATCTGCCGCCGGCGGGGAACGGGCCTCTGGGGCGGGGGTTTTCCCGCCCCCCGGGGGGACTTGGCAAGCTTACTTCAGCAGCTGCATGTGGAGGAGTGCAGAATCAAACCCAGTTCTCCCAGATTAGAGTCCACGCTCCTAACCACTACACCAAAGGTGCTTTTGCTTGGCTTTATCCCCTTTTGATGGCTGAGCAAAGCCAACCCCTTTTGAAAGAAATAGATCAGATGGCCACGTTATAGTCTGACTTTCAACCTGGTTTTGGGACGCAGGCAGCCTGTTGACTCTGACAGTTTGATAATCGTAATGACAGTTACATAACACTATTAACGGGGCATTAGTTTACAAATTTTTATCATCATCATCATCATCATCATCATCATCATCATCATCAATAATAATAATAATAATAATAATAA